GAACATTTAAGCGAAATAAATTTTGATGATTTATAAAGCTTCGGAGCCCTAGGAAATTCTAAATTTGGTGTGCCTTTAATCAAAGTTTGATTGTAAAATCCACACAGCAACGTGTTTTTAAATGGACATTCAAATGTTGAGCCTAAAATGTTTAATTCGATAAAAATTGCCAAGCAGGTGGGAAAATGCCAGTTTCTCCAATTTAATCAATCTGGTGAGCGCCTGATTTCACCACGAAACCTAAAAAAGTTTGGGCTTAGTACATCTGGACAGTGCACAGACGATATGTCGCTCCCAGAAGTCTATTCCTTTATAGAGAGCGTGTTTCTTTAAGTAATGAATTGTGATCTGGTTCGTAGTGTATTAGATTTTATTAAGCTTTTTGTCTTGGTGTTTGGTAATTTTTATTTCATTATATTTTATTTCTATTTTATTTATTTTATATTTAATGTATTTGTTTATTCTATTTATTTATCTTTTTATTTTTTAAATCAAAATTTTTGGGGGGTAAAAATTATACATATATAATATACATATTATTATATATATCTTTTTTTCTTTCTTTTCTTTGGATGGGGGGAGGGGGGGGGGTATTCGTATACTTGCCATGTAATCCTACTGCTATACTAAATGGTACAGAAATCCCAAGTTTATAATTTGGTATTCTAGGTGGTTCAGATCACTTTTTACGTTTTGACCCTTGAAATATTCAAAACGTTCTTACTGTTTTCTGCTTCCTTTTAACAGCTATTCTGTTGGTGTTTTAGACTCGAGTTAGTTATTTTCATCAAAAAAGATTCCTACTCCTCTTTCATGGGTTTTTCCTCCTGAATATACCATTGATTTGGAACTTGTTTTGACGATGATGATAATAATAATAATAATAGTAATTGTAATAATAATAATAATGGTAATAATGGTAATAATAATAATAATAATAATAATAATAATAATAATAATAATAATAATAATAATAATAATAATAATAACAATAACGCAAATCCCGCTAAACAGCAAGTCTCATGCACTTCACAATCTATAGCCTACTATTACCCCAGCAGACCTTAAGGCATTTTGAAACAACCTCATCTTCCTGGGAAGCATACAGTGCAAGCGGCCATTTATAGGCGCTAACACACTAACATACTGACAACATTTTTCGCTGTCTGTAGCCGGGTACCCATTTCCACTTGGGTGAAGTGGGGACATTTCGTGTAAAGTGCCTTTCGCAAGGACACGACGTCGGGCCTGCGACTCGAACCCCGAACCTGCAACCGCACAATTACGAGTCCGGTAGCCTAACCACCAAGCCTGTCCCTCCCCATCTAACTTCTGAAAGGCCTAATACATGTCATTGTGTTTAGCTTTATTCTATCCATGTTCTGTTTTACATTGTCTTATTTGCATTTCTGGTGCAATATTCTCATATTCCATGTGGCTATGGTAAATGGCTTAAGTCAAGGTTTGCAGCCAGTAGCTGGATAAAGATCGGACGCCACCTGTTGCCTGTGGCTGTCTGTACTGTGTGGGGAGTTCAGAGCTGGATTACGAACCTTCTGCTGTTATCTGAGAAATGAATTTGTATTGCCCTAATTTTCTCTGGAAATTGCAGCAGGGATTTCCCGTTGCTAACTGCCGGTTTGTTTACAGTTTTCTCTGACTGCTAGCATTTGTCATCCATTGACAACCGACAAGGCAGTGAGGGTTTTGTAGGATTTATCGAGACTCCTGTCACCAAGATAGTCACATCTTTTGATTAAGAGGTATTTATTGAAGCACCTGTACCACCAGGGTTCTTCTCTACTCTCCACGATAATTCTCATTTGGTTCACGACTGCTTGGCAGCCTCAGTATCTGGAGGCCTTTCCCCTATCCACCACCCTGGGACGCACTGGGTTGGTATTTTTTTGACAAGTGTTTAACAGCGCTCACAACTGCAAAAGGTCATAAGAGCGTGTGGGACACATTAAACATTTTCAGTTGCTAGGAAATTTAGAATTTTGCCCAAGAAGGGATCTTTAACGTGCGCAACTTGCGCACGGGACCTCCGAAATTTTTAGCCCTTGTCCGAGAAGGCTACGTGTAGATCTTTCCTACCAGAAGATCAGGGGTGTGGCTGAAAGAGTCAGGAACCCAGAGGAGGGGGCAAAAGAGGTGGGGGGATGAGGGCAGAAAGTGGAAACGCAAGCATTGCTAGAGAGCAGGAAAGAAGGTAAAAGGAGACAATTTTAAAGAGAAAAATTTCCGTCGCTATCCGGATTCGAACCCGGGACCTATTGAATTAGAGGCGTACACTTTAACCTCTAGGCCACGACAGCTCTCCCCCCCCCCCCCCCCCCCACCCCCTTCGCTGGGTTGAGTGATGAAATGTAATAAAATTCAAAAAGAAACACGTGAGTGGGGAAATAAAAAAAAAAAACTTGAAATACGAGGGGCATACCAAAAGTTTTTACCGGACCATGACAGAAGAAAGGTAGAAAGCTGAAATTTGGGGTGAAAGCCAAAAATTATCTTCCTAGATTGCTCGTAAATTTGGGGAAATTTCAGATTACTGTTTTTACCTACAGCGCACTGTAAGTGAATGGGGGTATGTTGTTCTCCAGTTTCAACATAGAAATTGAGAAAATTGAGCTCAGTGCAGTAGTGAAGTATTTGTTCTCGCAAGGCAAGCAACTACGGGATATTTTTACGGAGATACATGCTGTATATGAAACTGATTGTCCATCCTATGCTGTGATAAAATTTTTATGAAAACAAAGTAATGATGAGGTCAAAGAAGCGGTAGAGGGCTGGTTTTCTGACATAGAGAGGGTCCTCTATTCTCAACGTCTTTTCAAGGTCATACACTGATGGCAAACATGTATAACTCTGGAAAGCGACTACATAAAGAAAGACGAAGCTTATTACCAAATTTCAGCTTTCTACCTTTTTTAGAGTTTAGAGTACATAGTTTTTAGAGGTTTGGTGTGTAAAATAAAATGAATTTCACACTATGTCAAGCTTTTTAGAATGCAATTCTTTGAATATCTTGATGATGACTCCGAATATTATTCTTTAGATTTTGACAGAGCAGATAGAGCACATTTGCTTTCTGACCGCATGACCTTCGTAACTCAAAATTAAATAGTCAAAAATATCAGAAACAACTTTGTAAATCTGAGGTAGCGATACATATACTATTGATTAATCCTGTCGTGTAGTAAGTAATCATCGTGTTACATCGCAAAGAAACTAAAGAGCTGTTGCAACATTCGGGTCTTTTTTTCTTTCTCCTTCATTTACAGAGCTAAGGTCCAGTATCGTGTGTGCCGCACTCTATACAGTGCAAGTTGGAGACCGGACCTTCACAGTGCCTCGAACCTGGACGAATTTTAATAAAGGGCCTTCGGTTTGCAGTGGCTTCCTTAAGGTAGCGGTCATCCAGAACGAGACTGAATACCAGGAACTGTTACAGGCTGTGTCGTCTTTCGATCGCGGTCTCACATTGTGGTTAACAACGACAACGGTGTGTATCTTATCTATAATGATAAACTAGACATTGTGAGGCATCATGGTGAAATCAGCAGCTCCTCAAAATAATGAAATCAAGGAGACGGGCATTTTTTCTGACCGTTGTGCAATTTTGTTAAAAAAATTTTAAAATTATTTTTTTGGGATCTGTTTTGTTCTGTTTGGCTCAACACCTTTTTATTTGTAAACATATTTCCCTGTAGATTCTCTTTAAAAAAACGTTGATCAATGGCACAAAAAATATAGGTGTGCGTACAGTTTCCTAATAGTCTCAAGCTTTGGAATTCACCAAACTTTGGGGCCATTTGCTCGCTAATTTTACCTCTGATGAGGCAACCCCTACCTCCTTCATAAGCAACTATCTCGACTTCTATTCAAGTCAGATAGGTCGTTTTCTTCCACAAAAGTAAAACAAATGAACATGCCATAGCATGATACAAATATGTCAAAAAAATTGCTGAGCGCATGATTCCAGCGCGTCGTGACATATCTTTTTATAGCTACTGCTTTCGTGAGCACACAGCTGTGAAATATTGAAGTGGTTCGCCTATCAACACTGTTAGGTTATTCAAGAGGTGGGACCTCCGAGTTTAACATCGACCTCCGAAACGATCGGGCCATATAAGTAATTCGTCTAAAGTGCCTTTCCCAAGGGCACAACGTCGGACCGAGCTGAAGCTTCAATTCCCGAACCCAGATTCTAATAATTACGTGTCCGGCAGCTTAAATACAAGGCGCACATAATGGTAGGAACGCTGCATAAATCCAAATGCAAAGAACAACAATTTAAAAAAAAATGAAAAACAACAAACGAAAAAGCAATTAATAAAGAAATGAAAGCAAATCCCCCCCCCCTCTCAAAAATCAACCCATAATAATCTTACTCCTATTCGCCATCCGACAGTCTTGTCTGTCTGAGTAAGAAATTATAGTTAATGGTTTTTAAAGTTGCGAATCTCCTTTGAGTCCTGATTCGATTTCTTTTACAGAACCAAGATGGCAAAGAGAGTTGGGCTCAAGATGACATTGACCCGTCCAATTGGGCAACTGAAACTCGATTTACAAGCTCGTACAGAACTAGAAATTGTGGCAGTAAACATTGTACTATCCTATATAAATGGAACTCAGGGAGGGATGTTTTTTTGTCTCCTACTTGTTGTAACCGCAGTGGCAGGCATCTTTGTGAGGACGTGGACGAGTGTGAGACGGGGACACACACTTGTCATGCTAGCACACAGCGGTGTCGTAATGATGTGGGCTCGGGCTATACTTGTTTGAACATTCCTACAACTCCTACAGCTCGGGGAGACGTCCAGGCCTTTTTACAAGGCTCTGATGTTCCTATGCATTGTACTTACTCTGACCGGGGATCTCCGAGCCAGTTTTCATGGTACAGAAACGGACAGCATTACGTGAATACAGATTATTCAGTTATGGTATTATCTAGTTCCGGGTTTTTGGAGGAGGGTAGGTACCAATGTAGTGCGACTATGGATGGGGTGGAGTCAGCTCTGAGCAACGAGATCCTATTGACCCGATCTGTTCCCCCCGCCCAGCCCACGTTAAACGTAACACGTGATCTTCCTGTGCCACCGGGAGAGAATGTGACCTTGACATGTACTCCGTTCACAGACGGTAATGATCTTGTTTATTTGTGGAAGAAAAACGGTTCGGATTTTATCAGGCAAACACAATCGACTCTCCAAATCGTCCGTTTCTTGCCCGGAGACTCTGCCTCGTACACCTGTCAAGTTCAGAACACGACGTCACAGCTGCTATCCCCCGAAAGTAATGACATACTTCTCCAGTTTTTTCTGACAACTCCGGAGTTGTCTGTTTACGCGTTGCCCAGAGTGGCCAGAGACATGCCTAAAGAGACTCTCCAAGTAGTGAACGGTGATGATGTGGAACTCACGTGTAAGAGCCCTGACCCAGTTGAACGATTCCTCTGGCAAACACCACAGGGCTGGACCACCAATACGACGTCATCTGAGACTTTTGAGTTGCGTAATTTCCAGTCTGTTCATGCCGGAAACTACACATGTTTCTCAACGATAGGAGATGTAACCTCAGCACAAAGCAACAGCGTAACACTGGAGGACAGGATTCCTGCCACGCCCACTTTGTCCGCTGACGTCTCAATAGTGATGTGGGGATCTTCCGTTACATTAACGTGCAACACGACGGACGTGGGAGTTAAGAACTACTTTTTCTTCCATAGCTTTTGGATTATGAGACGAACGCCGACATTTCAGTTGGACAACTTTGACCAAAGGTATATGGGATCGTACAAGTGTCAAACAAAGGTAAGCAACATCTTCTCACCGTCGAGCAATTTTGTAACCTTGAGTCTCGCTGACCCCACGCCATATATCCTCACCAACAAGTCGGCACCATTTCCAGGGGAAAACGTTGAACTTAGTTGCTCTTCTACAGTATCAACTTCTGTAGACTTTTCCTGGAAGCTCAATGGAAAACCGATGGCGAACGCAAGCACAGACACAATCAGTGTCTCACACTTTGGAGAAGATGACGTAGGCAACTATACATGTGACGTGGAAGTGTCTGATGGCACAATCTTTACTAGCAGCCCTTTGGAACTGTCCATCAATACGTCCATACCGAAATTTACATCATCTCTAACAAATGTTCCTGAAGGTACTCTGGTGAAACTCTCTTGTCAATCTCACAATCCCATGCATCTCAGGTTCCGCTGGCAGAAAGATGACGTCATATTCGGGGAAGGAGCTGCATCCACATTTAAGATTTTAAATTTCGAGAGTAAAGACGAGGGCTTATACCGTTGTCTCGCAAGCGACATCAGTCAAAACTGGACATTGAGCACACCAGAAAATCTAACCGTCATTCCTTACAACTCACTTTGTAAATGTAAGTGCATTGCCAATTCCACTAGTGTGGTACTCTCTTTGGAAGAAGTTCAAGAAGTGGCGGCAGACATTCAACGCAATTTAAGTGTGGACCACGCCCACCTCTCGTCTACCGTGAGAAAAGTGACGTCAGCACCCGATGAACGAGCGTCCAGCATGTCTACTGGTGCAGGGGCCATCGCCATGTTGTCTCTGGTCTTCTGCGCCATCATCATCGCCGACTTGGTATCTGCTATCTATTATATCATGGCTACAGTCCAAGCTTGGCGGTTGCCGTTTGATGGCAAAGTTCGTGTTTCCTAAACAGTTCCAGTTTCTGTGCCTGAACTAAAGTTGATAAATTAATTCTAAAGATTGCCCTGAAAAAAAAAACCCAACTGATTTAAAACAGTTCTTTCAAAATGTGATTCAGATGACTTTTGTAAATCCTCCGTTGGAAGAAAATTACAGTGTGTTTTCGCCAGCAACCTTTCATTTTTATTGTAAGTGTTTTTACGTACCCATTGAAATAGGATGTTGCTACTGAAATTACTGGAAATGTTTATGTTGTGATTGATACTAATTAATTCAATGATTAACTATATTTTGCAAAGTAACATTTATCGACCATGACTTCCAATTCCAAATTGAGCTGAAAAGGATGAAGCATTTCAACATAAACAACCTGGAGAGAGAAATTAATAATACTAACTTCCATTTTGGAATCGAACTCAAGTATTATGTGTACAAAGGTACGCTCTTAGAGCGCAATTGTTATAAAACAATATAGCATGATTCTGAATTATAATTTACCTGCATCCTAGCATTTTATCTTTACATTTACTTTACTTTTGGGAGTGGGGTGGGGTGGGAGGGGGGGGGGGGCTCTGTCACGTTGTTGTGCTGAGGAGAGAAGCAAACGTCTTTTTCTTGTTTGTTTTGTCGCCTGTTGCAGGGTTATGTTGTGCCTGACTAATGTTTCTCTGACCCTCTCTATCCATCTGTTCTTGGGCCTGTCACTTCCTCTGTTTCCGTCTGATTTGTGGTAGTATGCTCTCGCTGCTATCATCATCATCATCCAGTGCCAGATCTGCGACAGGCATCGGCGATCATGGTTTTCCATTCATTCCTTTGCTCGGATGCTCTAAAAAAAGCTACGTTTCCCTGATCCTTTCGTGTTACCCATTTGTTTAGGTTCCCTAAGTATGTTGTTCTGGGCCTACCCCTGCCTCGCTTGCCCTCAATTTTTCCTGTGAGAGCCAGATATTTGAGACCCTTATGTCTATTCAGCTGTCCCAAAAACTGCATTTGTCGTTTCCTGATTGTTTTTAACATTGAGCGTCCCACGTGGGATTCATCAAGCACTACCTCATTTGATTTCTTTTCCTTCCACGATACTCTTAGCACTCTCCTAAGAAACCACATTTCTGTTGCTTCCTTTTTATTTTCACTGTCTTTAGTGATTGCCCAGCATTCACAGCCATATAGAAGGGTTGACCAAACGTAGCATTTCAGGACTTTCATTTTGGTGTTCATTGAGATGTTTCTATTTTTCAGGATTGGGCTCATTTTATTGAAACTAGCCTTAGCCATTGTAGTTCTCCTTTTTATTTCTGTGGAACATTTGGCGTCAGATGTTATCATATATCCGAGATATTTAAACTGTTGGACTTGTTTGATCTTTTCATCTCGCTGCTTACATTATTTTATTATGATTGTTTATTTTTGATGGAGTGGAGGGTGAGGGCTAAAGGAGGATGGGGTAGCGGTAGTTGGATGGACTGGAAAACAATGCTGCAAGTTGTTTAACTAAAACACTGTGCTTAAAACGTATATGGATTTTTAAAAAGAAAAATACTTCACTCAAGTCCGATCACAGCAATGCAGTGGCGAAACATTGATCTGCAACCAGAGATGGATTTCTTCACTGTATGTCCCAATTTGTTTTGAGAGTGTTTGATGCTGGGAGAGACCATAAGGACAACAGCTCACATATCGCTACCCTAGAATCTCAGAGTTCTGTCTGCTCAATATCTTTTTTTGAGAAACTAAAACATTTTGAGTTTCACAACAAGCCAAGCTTTTTCAAATGCAATTTTTAGAATATCTTGACTCTGAACAATCTTACAATTTTGATAGAGCAGATAGAACATTTGGTATATGGCCCCAGGGGTTTAGTAACTCATAAAGGCCAAAAATGTCAGATAGAACATTGTAATTCTGAGGTAACAATTTGTCCTACCCCTGTGTACCATTTGAATAAAAGTGATAATTAAAACTTTCTGTTACCTATATTGTTGCTTTCCTTCCTTTACATTAAATTATGGCGATGGAGCATAGAACATATACGTGGACATAATACATCTGCAGTTGGCCTATATAATATAATATGTAGATATATGAATTAATATATATATATATTCATATATATATATATATATATATATATATATATATATATATATATATATATATGTATATATATATATTAATATATATATAATTATTATCGTCTAGTCTGTAAGTAAATGTACAAGAAACGGAAGCACATTGGAGGAGCTGTAGCAGTGGTGCCTTGCCGAGGAACCAATATTATGAAATTTTAGACATACGCATTAGGTTCGAAAAGAGTTTAATTGTGCAAGAATTATATAAAATGTTAGCACCTGTGGTAAAACACAAACATGAGTTGGTTGCTACAACTAAGCATGTAAAAGAGTTTAAGAATTATAACTAATACTGAGATTGTAAGACCGACCGCACAAGGTACTAAACTCAAAACACTAGGAGGACAAAGACATGAAGATGCTTCCAATTTTTTAAACATTTCTAAGTTTGGATAGAGTTTAGCCGTGTAAAAATGTGTATGAAATGCTTGCACCTCTGTTGAAACACAATAATGCGTTGTTTGTTACGACTGGCTGGGCATGCAAAAAAGCTAATGGAATGTAACAATAGATACTGAGAGTGTAACGACCGATCACACAAGCTACTCAAGAGAGTAGGAGGGCACAGAAATAAACATGCTCCTAGATTTTCCGAACACATCTAGGTTTGGACTGAGTTTAGTCGTGAAAAGAAGACTATACCATGCTAGCACCTGTGGTAAAGCACAATAATGTTTTGGTTGTTACAACTAGGCAAGCGTAAAAAACTAATAGGTTACAACCAATACTAAAAGTGCAACGACCGACCGCACAAGTTACTCAAAACAGTAGTAGAATAAGGAAATGAGGATCGTCCCAGTTTTTCAGAACATATTGTCTAGATTTGGATAGAGTTTAACTGTGCAAAGAAGCCTATCAAAGGATTGCACTTTCGTTTCGTAAAACACAATAGTGGTTTCGTTGTTACAACTAGGCATGAACAATACATAGCAGAGAGTGTAACGACCGACTGCACAAGTTACCGAAAGCAGTATAAGGGCAAAGAATTCCAGAGTGTTGTTGCTTTCCCGATATACCTAGGTTCTAGATTTAGATAAGAGTTTTGCCGTGCAAAGACATCTCTGAAATTATAACACCCTTTCGTAAATCACAATGATATGTTAGTAGTTACAAAACAACAAGAAACAAAAATTGATAGGTTATAATAATAATAGCAATAATAATAATGATAAGAAGAAGAAGAAGAAGAAGAAGAAGAAGAAGAAGAAGAAGAAGAAGAAGAA